AGGTGAAGAGAGACATAAAAAATGGGGTAAATGAGGCGCCTAGGTGGTTCAGTCGGTTAAGCATCCGACTTCAGCTCAGGTCATGATCTCACGGTCTGTGAGTTTGAGCCCTGTGTTGGCCTCTGTGCTGACAGCTCAGAGCCTGGATCCTGCTTCAGATTCTGTGTCTCCCTCTCTCTCTCTGCCCGTCCTCCGCGCTCTCTCTCAAAAATAAATGTTAAAAAAACATTTTTTTTAATAAAAAAAAAAGTGGGGTAAAAAGACGCCTCTAAAAACTCTGGGTCCCATCACTCCCACTCAGCCCTGTGTTTCAACCTTGTCCCACAACCGGCCGAAAATGACAACCATGATTTCTGCATTTCCCACATGATTCTACTCTTTTCCTGGAGAAGGGCTAATGAATAAGAACATGAACCAAAGTCAATCCCAGTTCCAGAGCAGAAACAAGGGTCTAAGTTAGCACCTGTGCCGTGAAGGCCTGGTAACATTTAAAGCCGGGCACTTATTCAATATACACTTATAAGAACCTACTGTGTTCTGGCCGGTTCTAGGCATGGGGGTCCACATATGCTACTCATCTGTTTGTAGAGGTGTGCACAGCACCGGGATTCTCAACTGCCAACAGAATGCTAAGAAGAAACTGAGAAAAATCAGTCTCTAAAATACCAGCAACTCATCCAACCCTAAGCAAGTTTCCTATATTTTTCTTTCCATGCTGATTTTATTTCTATGCTGCATATTATTCCCTTAACCTGATGGAAGTGTTTTTTTTTAAATATATAGATATGGATAATGATGTATTTTTCTGACATTTTTAGATACCCTTAAAATATAGTATTACAATACAGTTTAAGGGTTTTTAAAAAATCTTAAACTTTGGGGTGCCTGGGTGGGTCAGTCAGTTAAGCATCCGACTTCAGTTCAGGTCGTGATCTCACGGTTTGTGAGTTCAAGCCCCACACTGGGCTCTGCGCTGACAGCTCAGAGCCTGGAGCCTACTTCAGATTCTGTGTCTTCCTCTTTCTCTCTGCCCCAACCCCATTCATTCTCTCTCTCTCTCTCTCTCTCTCTCTCAAAAATAAACATTAAAATTTTTTTTTGTAATTTTAAAAATCTTAAACTGGCTATTCTAGCAAGTAGTCCTATTTTATATCTTTAATACATTCCTTTTAAAACCTAACATACCTTGTACAAAGTTATAGCTACAAAGACTTACATAGCTACCAGTTCAAAAAGTAAAGCCATTGCATTATACCCTGAGAGGGCCCAATTCTGGTAATTCTTCACTCAGACAATAATGTATTCTTTAATCAATTTAATCAGTCAATCATAAATGGCCCTCTGCCTCCCAGGAAACACTTACCTCCTCAAGAAGCCGAGTGACAGCATCTATGTCATTATACGTCTTAGTCATCTGGCCAACTCTTTCAGCACATAAAACTGCAAAAAATAAAAGTGGCAATGAAACGACAATCACAAACCGGCCAAACAAATGACCCACCAAAACAGGTGGCCCTCAAATTGTGCCTGTGGATCGGGCACAAAGGGTTGTTGGTTTTGCTGTGTTCAACCCACACTGTGCTGGGCACCATTGGATTTCATTTCCGGGGAAGAGCCCCAAGGAGGACTGAGAGAGGGGTAACTTCCAATCCTGCAAGGGTTTGACATTGTCTGTGTGTGTGTGCGCACTCACGTGCATGTGCACACTTAGAGGTGACACTACGGACGAGGCGCTGGAGTGGAAAGGGGTCTGGCTACATATAAACTCAGCAAACGGAAGTGGGTCAGCAGCACAGCCACCAATGTGTGACTTACCAGAACGAGAGGGTGTAGACCTCACTAACCATACAGACCCAACCACATAGACAGAGTGGGATCCTTCAGAAAGCAGCTGGTGGTGCAATTATTAAATAACACTCTTAGCTGATAATGACATGATGACAAAGCTCCTCCCCTCCCCTCCCCTCAATTCTACGGCTAGGAGACCAGTTTCTACACCACAAAAACCAGGGTAGTAGATTCTTCTTTAATCAACACCAAAAAGACTATTACTGCTACACACAAATACGCATACGTACACAGAGTGATATTTCATCATATATATAATTTACTGTGGTCATAAGAGGCTGTATGTAGGCCACTTTAGAACTGACCGTCTTTGTTCTCCTGTGGGGAGAAAAAGGTCATGTGATGAAAGAATGCTTTAGTCTGCAAAAAAACCTCAGGGTTGCTTTATTTAAATAGATGGCAGGGAATCGATTCGCGATTCAACAAACACCAAGAAGGTAGCGTAGGCTTTATTCTGGGGAGGAAGGAATGAATGTAAATGGGTTGAGGACCCAAGTGTAAAAAATTATAAACTTGCCACTTTTGCAAGAAGTAACCTCATAGGAACTCTTTATAACGACGACTCTACAAAATAATTCTTGGTGAAGACTTGGCGAAGCTCTCACAATGACCCACATTCAGTAGCAGCCCAAGCAAGGCATTTGGAAATTAAGTGGGTTACTCAGCCAACCTAACACTGCTAGTAGATTCTACGGCTGGAATGCAATAGGTCTCTAAATATTTTATCAAACCCAAGTAAAGATTGGCCTCGTGAATGGGCTGGAAGGAATCTGATCTGTTGGAATGATTTTCTAGCTGAAGGAGCCCCGAAATCTGGTTCCAAATCTGAAATCCTACCAGCAAGGCCTTCCGGAGCCAGGAGGCGGGGCCCCTCCCTCTGCCGCCTTCACCCTGCACTTGATGAGAGCTGAGGGGGGCGGGGGCGGGGCTCGCCTCAGGAACTCTCCTTCCTCCCCTCCAGGGGAGCTGCCGGGCTAGGGGGATTTGTAAGGGTTGGTTTACACCAGAGTTTAATTTGATGGAGGTGGAGTCTGGCTCAAATTGCTCTAAACTGTTCCCTTAGCCCTGGGTCAGGAAAAATCCCCAAGCGAAGATTCCTACGCCCGACGGTTTTCATGCTGGACAGCTGTGCTGGGCTGTGGGCGCGCAGATAAAGATGCAGGAGGCCCCCCCGTCACCGGCTCCCGGGTCGACTGGAAACAGACCCCCTTCCCCCTTCCCCACCCCCACCGCAGTCACAAAAGGCCTCTGTGCTGAAACCGGGATTATGACTGGGGGCCTGCTTAGTGCCCCTCTTGCCTTCGAGGACCACGCCCTCTGCTGTTGGGGAGGAAAATTACACCAGGCTGCACCTTAACTAATCTGGCCCCATGTCACCCTAACACGAGAGAGCATGATTCGGTGCGGCTTTTTTTTCTCCGGGATTGTATTAGAAATTACACTTACATTTTGTGAGCTAATTTTTTGAATTGAGGTCACTGTAGTTAATCGTGTAGATAATCACATGCAGATGCAGGAAATAATACAGAGATCCCTTATACCCTTTACCCCGTTTCCCCGCAGGGGTAACATTTGGTAAAATGATATTCCAGCCAGGGCACTGACATTGATAAAATCCAGGAATCTGACTCCGATTTCCTCAGACTAACTGGTGCTCATCTGTGTGTGCAAGTGTGCTTGCGTGCTCCTGAATGACGAAGCTCTAACAATTCCATCACCTGTGTAGGTTTGTGTATCTACGACCACAAAGATCCCTCGTGTTGCCCTTGTCTGAGGCTAATCTTAAAAAGCTTTAATGTACTTTAACTATTGGCCCCATAGATGTAAACCTGGAATGATGGGCTTTCTCTAGCATCAACCAGTCGGGCACATACCGTCACCATGCCCCCATGGTGACAGGAGGGCAGGGGTGACCATTCACATTCAGTCAGGGCTACAGGGTGAGGTAGAGACCTCCCCAAAGTCCCCAGGCCTTTGACAGCTCCCAGCTTCAGAAGTCAGAGGCATAAGTGAAAAACCACTGTTGACCCTGAGTTGTTAAGGTATGTGCACTGTTGTTCCAGTTATGTTTTTAAAAATACATACAATTCCAACCGGGAGAAAATGTACTGATTCATAATACACAGAAAAAAAAACTAGGATAGCCATAAAAATAATTGACATTTAGATGGTATTACACATTTTAATTTTTGTGCTTTAAAAAGAATTTGTTTTTGTAGTGACCATGCACTGATAGGAAAAGACTTAAAATATTTTTCAGAAAATATACAGTCGACTATAGTTATAGGGTCCTGGGATCCTCCCTGATGCAACTTTTAAGAGAAATCAGTAACAGCAGCAGCAGAGAAATCAGACCCTTACTGGGCACACTTTCTATGGCCAGGCCATGTTCAATACTACTCTAATGGATTATCAATAAATGCTACAGGATAGAACTTTAACTCCATTTTACAAATGGGAACCAGAAGCCCAGAGTGGTTAAATAACTCCTCTGATGTCATACAGCTAGCAAATGGTGAATTTC